CTGTGCTGCTTTGCCATAGATAAACCCTGCAGGATCTATGACTCACCATAACTTGCCTTCTGTACACCCTGGTGACCCACATTTCATGAGGTCATCCAGGCTATATCTGGCTCAGGAAATTTAGTTAGTTTATATAATCCTTATATAAACACACAAACCTAGCTCTTAACAATGATCAGAGGTGTATTTAGCAATCTGAAATGTTCATACTTCTGGATGTAGCACCTATGCCATTTCTCAGCCTGCCCTGTTCTTTAAATGTCACCTTTAGTACCTGTTAGCAGGAGCAGTTAGCTATTGATAGTTTGCCTGGGCTTACAGCAGGAGAGGTGATATAGAACAAATGAGTGTGGCGTGGGCTATGTTGCATAAGGGCTGCCTACACTCAGGGAACTAACATTTTCCATATGGTGCAAGCTGAATTGGTTCTGTTTTCTCTGCCCAGCAGGGAACACTCGGTATTTGAATATTGTTGAGCACTTTATTTCCGCCCTGTTTTGAGTGGTAATTATTCTGAGGCTGTGAGGCTGCAAGTGTGGTAATACACACAGAGCACATTGTAAAGGGCTTCTCAGAGTTTGTGAGGAGCTCTATTTGTGCACTTTATTATGAGGCTGTTCTGGTCTAATGTGTAGTGCAGTGAAAGGCTTTTCAAACACTCCCAGTGTCTTTTTATGTGAAGCACTAACCTGGCCAGAAGGACCATTTAAGTAAAGAATAGAGTGTGCATGGGGCAGCATAGAATTGAAAGTGGGGGCAGCACAGGATCGAAAGCTCTGGCAGCACATTGAAAACTTAAGCATTTGCCCTGAAATTTCTCTCTGTGCACAGCACTGTGGAAGAGCCAAGGTCCCCAGAACAGATTTCACGGGGCTTACTAAAGCAATTCCCTATGCTGCAGGTGAGAGCAGCAGCAACAGAGATGCTGACAGGATGTGGAATAAGACATGAAGGTGATCTGGTATCCCCAGCGCCTTCGTGGGGTGGTGGAAAGGACTGAAGAACTATGTCAAAAGTGAATTCCTTCTTTTTCTGCCTCCTCTTCCTGTGAGCTCTGTACTGGCTTAGGAGCCATAGTTTGCTGAAGCAGGGGCACTGACTGCACAGAGATCACTTGGTCAAATTCCAGAAAGGTCTTGATGATACAAAATAAGCTGCAAAGCCTATATCTCCTTTAGGAAAGGTCACTGTGTGTATAGTTATTAAAGGATGAAACCAGACAACCTCCTGTGCTGCCTAGTCTGGAAGCAGGTGCTAGGTCCCATCCCATGCCAAGTGTGAAATGGGAACCAGTAATTGGCATGAATGACTAGAAGTCACTGAACAGAATTCAGATGAGAAGCATGGGAGGCCAGATGGGGAGCTATCAGAGTGTCTTAAGGATTAGACATATGCTGGATCCAGCTAGATGAAAGCCAGTTACTGACTTTCAATAACGCTTTCCTTTCTGTGCACCCAAGCTAGTGGCTTTAAATGCCTATAGTATTGTCCCTTGTTGTTTGATTTAAGCCAGGGAATTAAGACTCCTTAAAACATAAAAAATATTTATTGGTTTTTAGTATCAGGCATTTTCAAGGACAGTATCTGACACTTACCCTTACTCACTTGACTTGCTTGCTTTTCCAAAATCAGGAGACAAAGCTGGGACAAAGACAAAGACAAAAGTTCACTAGCTTTAACCAGTGACTACAAAGTATCAGTCTGTAAGGAGTCTTCTCCTTCCCTTTTCAGTGATATTTTACATTAGCTGTGTACAGTACAATTGCCACATATATATTTTCTTTTAACAAATTAATTACTGTCCTTATTCAGGCCTTAATCTTCAACGAGACATGGAAGATATTCATTGCCTGGCCATGAATAAATTGCTCTTACATCACCACATGAAGCCTCCAGAGAAATCTATATGTGGCATCTATATATTTCTTACCTCATGCCATCTGGATAATAAGAAACTTCTCTGAGAGAAGCTGCTCTGAGGTCGGTCCATATGGTGGCAGTGACAGATCCTGCCACATGGGGACTTTTCCTGGGGTGGAAGACACCTGAGCAGCTTTTGGGAGGTACTGAGGAGGTCTGCACAGTGCCAGAACAAGCACCCTTCTGTACCCCCATGCCTTTCAGAGCAGCACAGGCTGCAGGCGGGGTATGAAGCAGTTCATGGCACCTTGGGAGCACAGGGAAGGCAAGGTCCTGCTGCAGCTGCAGAGTGGAGCCCAGGCAGGGTCAGCACCCTCCGGGAGCGAGCCCAGCTCTGGTGTCCCCTCAACAGGAGCCACGTACTCTGCACACACCAGGAGGGAGGTGATGACCCAGGCAGGGCTGCCACATAAACACAGAGCCATGCAGCTCTGGCTGCAGGGAGGGCCAGAGCCTGGCTCTTTTGACTCAGTCATTGCTGGCAACCTCTCTTCCCACACTCCTCAAGCAGAGGGACTGCAAGACAAGAACTGGGCCAGCAAATCCTTCCCACTATAAGAGATGATCAGTGTTGTTCCTGAGGAACCTCAACATATATGAATCTATGGGACCTGATGACATACACCCCAGAGTCCTGAGGGAATTGGCTGATGTTGTTGCTAAGTCAGAATACTTTTCATGGTATTTGAAAAGTCATGGCGGTTAGGTGAAGTCCCTGGTGATTGCAAAAGAGATAAAAATGCCCCTATTTTTAAAAAGGGATAGAAATGAGGACCCCAGAAATTACTGACCTGTCAACCTCACCTTTGTGCCTAGGAAGTTCATGGAACAGATCCTCCTAAAAGGTGTGCTAAGGCACAGGGAGGTGATTCAGGATAGCCAGAACAGCTTCACCAAGGACAAGTGCTGCCTGATCCATCTAGTGGCTTTCTACAGTGGAGGGCCTACACCAGTGCACAAGGGAAGGGCTACAGGTGTTGTGTCTATGGGCTTTCATAAGGCCTTTGGGCATGGCCACAACATCCTTCTGGCTAAACTGGAGAGAGATGGAATTTCTGGGTGACCTGTTCAGTGGATGAGCAGTGGATTGAATGGTCAGATCTAGAGGGTGGTGGTCAACAGATCAATGCCCCAGCGGACATCAGTGACAAGTGGTGTCCCTCAGGGGGCCATACTGTGGTTTGGATTTTTTATGATAGCACACTAATGTTTTAGTGATTGCTAAGTAGTGCTTACTCTAAATCAAGGACTTTTTAGTCTCTCTTGCTCTGCCAGTGAGGAATTGAACAAGAAGCTGGGAGGGAGCATGGCCAGAACAGTTGACCCAAACTGACCAAAGGGATATGCCATACCACAATAGCTCTATTGACTCATCTCCTCTTAGTGCAGGCACCAAAAAATGTGTGTGTTATTACACAATGGAATTTTCTGGTATTTAATGCACAGTTACACATTCTGATATTAAATTATGCTGGTGTATAATATGTATAATAGTTTGCTATGTATCACTGTTAGACTGTGGTATGCAAGAGTTTCCCAGGGACAAAGCAACTCTCAAAATTTAAACCAACAAGATCCAAGATACAAAAAAACCCACAAAAACCATGGATCCCATAATTCATCCCTAAGCTTTGTGTTGAATGGCAGGAAAAATGTAGATTGCTATTAGACTTCTTTAATTTAGTCTAAGCTCTAAACATTAATTGAACTTGGTGTCAATTATTTTTTTTCCCTAAATATTTTTCACAACTTGACTGCAATTAAAGGAAAATAGAAAAAGTAATGAATGCTGGAAAAGAACTGCTTATCCCTATTAGATCCCTCCTCTGGCAAGTAAGAGCAGAATGGCATGCATCAGGCCCTTTACCGTGTCTTTCTAACTTTTAACCAAAATATGTAATTTACCCCAAGACACAACCACCATGAGGAAAGACAGGCAGGTTCCCCACCCTATGAGAGACCATGAACATTCTTGCTTTTCTTTTACAGCTTGTTCTTCATCTCCATGTCTTCATGATGGGACATGCATTCTGGACAAAAGCAGCACCTACAAGTGTGCCTGTCTAGCTGGCTATACAGGGAATCGCTGTGAAAACTGTGAGTACAGGCACTGTGTGCATGACCAGCCTCCAGAGTTGTCACTGATGCATTAATTGTAAGAAGTGTTGTTGGTGTGTAGGTTTGATCAGTCATAGAGCCAGAGTTTCTTGTGGCATTTTTTAAGATATGTTTCTTGCAGTTCATGAAGATTTCCCCTCAGTCATTCTGGAGCTTTATGTCAATGTGTGAAAAGGTAAAACAGACTTGGAGCTGGGAAACTGCACACAAGAAATTTTGTAATGGATTAGCCTTATCAGACAGATCCCTGCCTGCTGCTTTCCACTATGTGCATCAGCTGTTCTCTACTGAAAACATACCCCAGCTGAGCCCTGTGCTTAATGTTTTAGACTGAGTTAGTCATAGGAAATTCATCTTTCCTCACAGTCACCTGGAAAGTAGATTTCTGGCACCATGAATGAAAGAGATTTGGGATCAAAACAAATGGAAAAGGGTAGTTTCTGTTCATATCTGTACCTATAGTCATACACCTGGTTTTGTCCTGACAAGTGAATTGTAAAATTACTGGATTCAAATCAATTGTCTGTTCCAGTGATTTACTTCTTCATGCATGAGAAAATCTTCCTCTAACAGGGCTCAAAAGAGCATGAGGGAGTAAGAATTTTGCAATATATGCCATGATAAAAGCTGTATCAGCTATACTAGCTGAAAGGAGCATTCTGCAATAAAGTTACTGAGCTAGAGCTGATCCTGGAAGATTTCACTGATAGTGGTGGTCATATTTGGCCCAAGACAGAAAGTATGGCTTACTCTGTCCTGCTGTGGCATTCCTCTGGCCATAAGCACACAATGTCTTGCTTGCTAGCAGAGTTTTCATGTCAGAGGAACCAATACACACCAAACTTCATTTCAAAATCTTTCCCGCACATATGCCATTGTTAGGAGTGGAATTATCTCCTGGAATTTCTTTTATTTCATCAGGGGAGTTAAATCATAGTGGCATGATACCTTTTTTGATGAGTCATTTTGAGGTAAAAGACCTTTCAATTTCTACAGATCCAGATGTAGCTCAGATGTGAGGAGACATTGTTTCATATCTTCCATAAACCTGAAAAAAAATTGTTTCTGAACAGATTGCACAGATTCCTGGTATGTTTTCTGTAGGGAAGAGGTTGCTGAAAACTTGAGGTTCCTGACCTCAGGACTAAGTGTCTGGCTCTTCTGCTAACAGCCTCTTTCCTGTGAGTAGTTGTATAGCAGGTCATTTAGGGACTGGAAACTCCTGAGCTCTTTGCAGCTGCTCAGCAAGATTAGTTCTGCTCCTTTAGAATGGAGTCAGGGAAAAAAAAAAAAAAAAAAAAAAAAAAAAAAAAAAAAAAAAAAAAAAAAAAAAAAAAAAAAAAAAAAAAATAAAGATTCCTGTCTGATTCAGAACCAACCAAAATTTCAAATAATTACATTTCCAGCAAACTTCAGCCCTAGTTTTGGCAGGCTCTGCAGTGCAGGCAAGGCAAGGAATGAAGCTCATATTCTTTTACTGACTTTCTTTTGTAATTCCAGTGTAGAAGCTTCACCCATGCAACCCACAGAGCAAACAACAGGGGAGATAGTTGAAAAACAATGGGATGGGATTTCTGTCACTGTAAGCAATGAAAGGTAAAGGTACTGACAGGATGAAAGAGAGGAGACATTAAACATATATGCAGTAAGATTTTTAACTTGATGGGAATCTTGTAATTTGATTTGCTTGAAAGAACAATTTCGGTGGATAAAATTATGTTACATTATGATGTTTGTGGCTGTATGTTTGCCTGTATACCTCAAAGCTCATGCTAGGCATAATATTGTTTTTCAGCACCTATATTACTGCCTTCTATGTGAATAGAAAACTTCTCAGTTGGAAAACATCATGGAAAATCTTTTGTCTCTGTGGCTTCAAGTGGTTTTTTTTTCTGAAGATATTTCCTTCAGTTTTGCCAAAATGCATCCTAAGTATTTTCCAATGTATGGGGAGAAAAGTCAGAAAATTAAAGTTTGATTTGTTTTTTTAAGAACCAAAGGAAGAACTGGGAAAAATATGGCTGTAATTCTTTAAAAGCTAGCTGTAGTTTCCTGAACGGCCTTTAAGTTTAAATGTTAGAGATTGTGTCTTCCTCAGAATCTTTCTTTCTGTTAGATCTTCCAGCAAAAGTGCTGTCTTGTGAAGTAGAGCCAAGGGAAATAAAATTGTTTCTGCAGACAGAAAACCATCATAAAATAGTCACTTTTGGAGTATTGAATATGACTTTGGACACTATAAGACTGACTTTTTTTCAGTCTGGTTTTCCTGAAGTCAGGTGCAATCCCATTAAAGTTAATGGATGAAAAATAGGTATAAGAGAGAAGAAAATTAGAGCCCCTTAGTGTTAAGTGCATGTAGAAGCTCTGTAGTGGTGCAACAGAAGGTACCCAGAGATACATGAGGGTTTTAAAGAAATCCAAGGGACATAGTTCAGATGAAGAGAGCCTGTGGGATTATCTAATTGAGGAATAAGTTAAGGCCAAATTAAACAAATTTACCAATGAGTATTTCATGACAGAATCAGAAATTTTTTTAGTCCCTTAAAATCCCAATGCAGCTCTATCTTTTTGGTATTACCAAGTTTAATTTTAAAGATGTGGGAATCTCTATTGGAATTATGGAAATCATCTTAATGAGATAAACCACAGGGAACCTATTGTTTCCTCCATTAAATTAAACTCCATCTATTCAGCAGGATGATCAACATTGCTCAAGCTGCTTTTCTGGGGTCATATTTAACCCTAATTGCTCTGTCACTTACAATTTGCAATATTAATAAAGTAATCCAAGGTACATGTTGATTACAACTAGCAGTCTCTTTTATCTTCTACTATAGCAACCAAGAAATTAACATTTTGTTTACAATTAGAAGGGCTACTATAGTGATTTAAAGCTTTCAACAGCATAGAGTGAAATGTAGGTATTTACCTTTCTGACAGCTGCTAATATATTTCAGTCAATCCTTCAGGGCATCGAATATTTTATATAAATATGTCTGATTTCACTCCCAAGACTGTTAAAAAAATGTATATGAAATTGTAAAACAAATGATCACCTTTTATCTTCTGACCCAATACACAATAAAGACAAATCCTAAGGATAGCAAAAAATACCTTCTTAAAGATAAACATGCTTTGCTCTCATGATAGAGTAGGTAGAGAAAACTAACTCCTGTTTTAAATACTTGGGCTTCTTCCTGACCTTAAAGTGAATTTGCAGTATACCTACATACCCTTCCCAGTGACCCCTTAGCCATGCTGACATGATTGAGAGCAAATTCAGTCTTTTCTCTTTGACCTTTGTATATTCTAATGCTGTCAGAGGCATTAGGAATGCACAAAATCAGATAATCTTGTTCTCCTAGCATACAAATACACTGAGACAAACCAGCAACTTCATCAAAAGATGCAGGGGAAAAGTAAGAAGCTGACTAGTGCACAAGCTGCCTGCTAAAAGCCATCCACTCTAGTGTCAGCATGTCCCTGACTCTCTGCAGTGTGACAACTACTTGTTCAACTCAAACTAAGAAAGGTCTTTTCCAAAGTCTCCCTGTTGAGTTTGCCTGCTGAGGATGCAGCTGTAGAGACAGTATTGCTGGTACCCCATAGCAAATGTTCTTGCCCTCTGCTTGTCCTCCTCCCAGAACGGGCTGTTCTAACTCAAGAGTCCTCCCAGGGCTTGCTGGCCCCAAAGCAAGAGACCTTGACCTCATCCTGCCCAGAAATTTCCTGTTACCTTTATTTCAAACAAAGCCAGGCAAACTGGAGTTCCTACGCAAATAAGAAGAGCTTCACTGAATGGGGAATTCAGGGCTGAGATCTGATTTCCATTTTTATTCTGTTTCTTGCTCCTGTCTGCCAAGTAGGAGAGGTTTGTTCTGCATCCTAATGAAGAGTCTAATCCAACTGACAAAACTGTATAAACTAACTCCTTGCTGTAGCCTTTGATGTTGCTAGGGCTGGCCTTACTGTGTGCCAACAGGCCTCTGAATATAGCTTTCAGGCCTTTCCCCACAGCTGATACAATCCACTTCCATCCTTTTTGGCCCCATACATCTGTGACTTGGGCTGGTTCTTAGGGATGCGCTCATCCTATCAGAGCCTCCTTATATCTAAAATAGGGAGGAAGCATTAACATCCCACCAGCCACACCTCACCCCCTGTTCTGCTGTGGGAGAAGGAGCCCAGCTGTCAGTACTTGGCATAAGCTAGACAGAGTCTGAAACCAGCAGAGCTTAGGATGAGGCACTGGGGAGAGGTTGTGGGCATTGAACCTAGTGTTCTTACCTAACCTTGGCTATGTAATGCAGAGTTTTCTAATAGCATGCTTGGAGGTTTTTTTTTAAATTTTGTCAGAAAGATTCTCAGTAATAGATTTCAAGGGGTGCCATAATCACTGTGTAAGACTATAATTACATTATATCCATGTACAATCACTGTGCAATTTGCAGCTCACATGTGTTACATCTTATCTATACTGCATGATTACAATGCAGAACATCAGGTATAATTAAATAAATGCCCCTGAGTCCTTTCTTGCAACCTTGTCATGAAATCAGTTCCTATTCCAACTAGGGAAAATGTTGCAAATAAAATTATGACTCTTAATTTCCCTGCTCCTGGGACTGCCATTGTGTTCTAGTTTTGGCTTTGATTTTGTTTGGTTTTTATTGATTGTTTGTTTGTTTGGCTGTTTTTTTGGTTTTTTGGTGGGTTTTTTTTTGTTGTTGTTTTTTTGTTGTTGTTGTTGTTTGTTGGGCTTTGCTTGAATTTTGCAGTGGAAAATGGCTTGTTACAGATTTTTTTAAAGGGACAGAGTTCTTCCTCGCTTGTGTCAAGGTCACTTTTTTAGGGTGGCTATGTCAAAGATATGAGACATTGACATTTCCACTCCATGACATTTCCACTGTCCTTCCTATTGGCACATGGGTATGGGATGGGAAATAAAAACCCTGCTCTTGCTGTTGAAGGACATACATACCTAGAGCTGCTAAGGAGTAGAGGCTAGTGGCTTTTCCTCATTGTTACAACCGAAGGGCCCATCTGCCTTGAGACCCACACAAAAACTTTTCACTCAGCGTGGCAGTTCTTGGGTTTTGAAGATCATTAGGGGCTACAGGCTGAAGTTTAACACAGCACCACCCTTTGGGCTGTCATGCAGCAGCTCTGTAGTGTGACCACAGAATGGTCTCAGAGGTGGTTTCTGTTTTCCAGAACCTTCCTGGAACTGCCTCTGAGAGGCAACATAAGATAGAGAGGTTTTTAATAAGTCACTTCAGGGTTCAGTTCTGGTAGCATAATGCCCTCTCTTGTTTTACTGAGCTGATCAGAAGGACATTGTAATGCTGTGTAGATGATTGCTAGGATGTTAGCAAACATACATCCTGCTTCACAACATATCCAGTGTCTTGCAGTACACTCCTTTCCAGGAAAATCATGTGTTTACAAGGTAATCTGTAGTGGTTAGTGCCTAGTGCAGGGATTTGAAGGGTTTGGGTTGAGATGGAGGTAGAGATCTCTGCTCCCAGTTTTCACTTCAGTACATTTCCTGGATATTTCTCCCTTGGTTAGAAGGATGTTGGAAATGCTCACAGAGGAACTGCCAAACCACCAAACACTATGTGTGATGCTTTAACATAACCTAACATCAGTTCTGGGTTGTCTTAATTCACTGAGCAATAAACTAAAGCTGTGCAGCTTGTGTTACACAAACAGCCAAGATGTCTCATAGGAGGACAGAAACACCTAAGAGAAAAATGATGTCGATGGCTGAGGATGGATATTGCTACAAACATCTGAAGCAGCCACTAAACAACAGCTGCTGTAAATCAGCCTTCAAAAACCTGGTCCCTAGGACTGGCCTTTCCCTTGGTTCTGTCAGTAAGAATGTTGGATTGGGTAGGTCATGCACTCTCTGGGAGGAAGGTGCTTATACCACTTACCAGTGTTCGATCTCATAATACTTTTGTAGTGTCTTGAAACTCCAGTTGCGTGTCACTGACAGCAAGGCTGAAAGAGACAGAACATCTGCTTTACTGACAACTCCTCTTGTTGCTTTGTTATTTCCTCATTGTCAATTAACTAGACAGTTCTCTCAGTTTTTCAGAAAGTGAAACATATCTGGTAAAACCCCATGGTATTCTGCCCAGAGCATAGCCCCAGGCATAGCCAACACCTAAATAAATGAGAAAATGTCTCTTTGTAAATGTAATCTATCCAAGGATAGCCCACCATAGGAAAATAATTGTATTTCTAAACTACATTAAATATATTCATAGAAATCTCTTCTTGCCCACCCCAAAACAATACTGAACTTTTTCCTCAGCCTGCTAGGACATCTTAGAGATAAAACCATCCATAGGATTTTCCCTGGTATGACTTGGTATATGGAAGGATGAATCAGTGTCAGGAGGACAAGTTGGACCAAGCTATATCTCAGGTATTTTTGCCACACTGGATGGGACAAAGATACTTTTGCTGTCATTTCACTACTGAATCACTTGGGAGGCTGAGTCTTTCTGAAAAGCCTCCTAGAGGAGGCATGGCATAAACCAGCTCTTCAGCACAGGATGACAGCCCGCAGCCCAAAAACCAGTCTGCATCACTGGCACACTTCAAGCTCACCCCCACCTTTTGCAAAGGTCACAGAGTAGGGGGGCTGGAATACAGTTGTTAAGTTGCTGATGGAGATGCTTTCTGCCTCTGAGCTGAGTGTGAGGAGATGTAACTTTTGGGTTTTCTGGAGTTAGAAGAACTGAGAAAAGGGCCCAGAGTAGATTATAGATTTGGGATCTCTGCCTACATCAACCATTCATCATTATTGGCCAGCTAGCCTCCCTCACCTACTTCCTCATTACTGGAGCTGTAGAAAAACAAAATACTCAACTTCTAAAAATACTCTAAGAGTTTAGAAAAAAGCATTGATCTTCTGAACCAATGAGTGAATACTACACCTCTTCTTAGAATTCCACAAATAATCTCAGAAAGAAAGGACTTAAACCTCTATCTCAAATTCCCAAAGCTGGTATTTTACATTAAATATTCTCTGATTTCTACACTTAAACTGCTTGAATGACCCTGTCAGATAACCCTCGTACAAGTTCCAAAACAACAAATAAAGTCAGTAACAGCCCCCAGTAAAACCATCCCCACCTCGCAAGAATAAAATATAGCTCCACCACTGAAATCTGATTGAACAGAAAGCATATCCCACTATCAACAGCAGCCACCCCAAACTATCAGCATTCAGTAAACTTCTCCAAGAACTAAAACAAGTCCCACACCATAACAACCAATCCCCGCAAGTGTCTGAAAAAGATCTGCCACTAAAGACAAAGTATAAACATAATCCATTGACATTCCACCCAAATAAACCATAAACAGCAACAAAGACATAAAGGAGACCCCTAAACTCAACAACCACCCACACCCTGCAACAGATGCCAACACCAAACCTACCTGTTCAGAATATGGTGATGGGTTAGATGCAATTGCTAACACTCCCAAAACAAAGCACAGCCCTAAGAAAAGTACAAAATAGGTCATTATTGTTCCTGCTTGGCCTCTCTCCACTGTCTATGGCCTGAAAACACGTTGTCGTAAGCTTCAATTGCAGGAACCCTCCCAAAATACAACTTTGCTTTTTCTTTCTTCCCCCTCCTGCCCTTCTATTCAGTCCTCTCTGAAGACTACTGACACACCATTTGTACTTCTGGGGTGCAAGCATAGAGACTGCAACTCTTGCAGTGCTTTGGGGTAACCTTAAAACTAATGTGAAAGTTTGCAGAAATAATCAGCATTCTTCAATGCTTACAGTTTTGTTCTTTCCCTTCCCCTCCCCCCAAGTTCATTAAAAGGTTTTGTTCTTCCTTGAGGATTACACATTCAAACATCTCTGAGGCAACTGCCTCACACACTTCCCTTCATGGGAATCATTGCATTGTCTTCCACACTGTTTGCTGGTGATGCAAAACACTGCCAAGGCAGAATGGCCCCAGGAGGCAGGAATGATGACAAAATTGACCAGGCAGAATCCCACTTGTTCTTTCTTACTACTCCCACTTTCCTCTTTGGTTTCTTCAAGAGCTCAGAAACTGCATTCCACAGCCAATCAAATTGCCCTGCTACTTCCTTACTACTCTTCTGCTTTTCAGTTCCCTTCATTTTATTTCCCTATACTCTCATCTCAATGCTTGGTAATTTCCATCTCTTTTTCTAAAATGGGCAATGCCAGGTCTTCCTTCCTATGTGAAATTCAGCTCAGATCCCTGCAAAAGGATGAATGAAATATTCTGTTGTCTATGCCAAGGTGAATCTGTATCATTTTATATTGTTCTCTTGGTTCAGTTAATGTGCATTCAGAAACTTTTTTTCATAGCAATATGCATTTGTTTAGAGTGCCTTTTTCATCCAGTATTGCTCAGGCTTGTCCTTGTTTATTTGGAAAGGTGACATCTCCACAATGAAACACCTCAGGATTATTTACTCTCTCATTTGATATAACAATGAGCATACCTGATATTTTCTTGTCCTATAATCTTCCCCCTGAGCAGACAATGCTCTCCCCTGCAGGATGATATTGTGATTTTTTTCCAAGGAAACATTAGGGAACTTACAATAAATATTACTTCTTGCTACTGATAGAGAAAATGAATGTTGAGGATTGTTAGGATTTCATTCACTCCAGTATCCCATGCACAAACAGGTCCAGTTGTATAATTAAATAGGCCATCCAAGTACCGGAAAGGTTGTATCCAGAGACACAGCCTTCTAAGGGCTAAGAACAATGCTGATAAAGATCAAGTGGCTAATTGTAAGCAACAGCCTCCAAATTGCCTCCGGATGAATAAATCACAGTGAGTGATCCAAGCATATTTTCTCATGGATACGGTCTCATTCACAGAGGCAGGGAGCTAGAAAACATCAGGGGCAACTTCCAATTGGCTGGAAGGGAATGAAAAGATTTGGATTTCAGTAGGGATTACGTCATAATTTTGTGTAATTATTCCTAGCTAGTGGAACTACTGCAAAAGCAAAGAGGCCCAGAGAGCAGGACTGGAAACCTACTCTCTGGTTCTTGGAGCTGGTTGATCAGCTGCTCTTGTTATGATTTCCTTTGATGTTTCCAAGATTAATGTGAGGACTGGCAAAATAAAACAATGACAGGTGATTTGAACCTCCAGGACTCTTTCATGGGGAATAAATCAAGGCCAAAGACATTTGTAATGAATAACCTCTCCCAGCACTTCTGCATGAGCTGTGTCTGGAGCTGGGCATGGAGCTGGGTGGTTGTGTCCTGGGACATCACAAAAGGCATGAAGGAGGTTAGAATGTTTCCTCTCTTTTGAAACACAAGTGACTGAGGGCAGAGATGGTTTATCAAAAGTCCTCCCTTGCCAAAAATGTAAATGGAGGCTACTGTAATGCACATGCACACTTTTGGGGAATAATTGTTACTCTTTCAGGACTCCTACTTGATACTGAAGGCCAAGTTCCTGAGAGATACTGGATCTTTTAGCTATTGCAATTACCATGACATGAGCACTTGTGTGGAGCTTAGCCTTGGCTAAGTGCTTGTGGTAACACAGAGGTCTGAGGTACCTCTGAGGCCCCTGCCTAGAGCCTTACCCACTCATTACTGAGTCTGTGGTGACTGGCATGACCAAGTAGAGCAGAGCTCCTTTGATATGTGGCATTAGCTGTTCAGATAACACTGCCATCACTGTGAACACCTTTTTACCACATTAGTTTCCATGACCTTTCCTATATAGGATCCAGTGTGGTGTTTCCAATAATTTGCTCTCTGCTATGAGAGTCTTGCTTTAAAAAAATTAGTTTTCAATCCAACCTTATCACTCTTGGCTTTCCTTGTTCACCCCCTTCTAATTTCTGGTTCTAAAAGTTGCAGCCACATTCTTTTTTCATCTAAAGTGCAAAGCCTGTCAGCTCCAAGAAGTAAAAGTTTTGAGTGGAATCAAAGAAGACAAGCGAGCATTCTAGTCATCACCAGCCCCCTCATACACAGCCCGTGGAAACACACACCACCCCCAGAAAGCATTTTCTTCAGAGTCCTGACCAAGACCACCTGTCCTCCAAAGCTGTTCAGCTCCCAGCAGTCTGCTCCTGCTGTGGAGAAGAATGAAGATCACATTGCAAAGCTAATGCCATCGAGCTGCTCTGGCTCGTATTCACATCCAGCTCTTGCCAGACTCTGGAGCAGAACAGCTGGGCTCCTTCATGTGGATTCTTAGTCATCAGTGCTCTCCAGTGTAGGAGAGGTGGGATGTTCAGAGAGGTGGTGAAAGAATTTTAGTTCATTTATGTTGGATCCTGCAGTGTTTGCTCCATTTATTCAGGAGATGTTGAGCTGAGAGTTGTTCTTGAGTGCAGCATCAGAAGATGCCAGGCTCTTTCCTGAGTGTAAGTACCATCACTGTGAGTTAAGATCCTTGTAGAAACAAAGCCTGTACTGAAACAATTGTAGACTCAGAGAGAGTGTCAGGAGTGTTACAGAGAGGACATTCCCACTACAGTTTACACACTTTGTTCTGTGAGGCACTACAGGACCTCACAAACTCTATGTTGATATCAGCAGACTTATGCCCACAGTCCCAGGATGCAGAGTATCTGGAAGGCAGACAGGAGGCAGACAAGAACACTGTGACTCCTTAAGAATCAGTCTGGAGTTGGGGTTTCTGCCTCATTCTGTGTGTGACCTAATACCAGAATGTCTCTAATGAGCAGAGAAGAGTGCACAGACACACTGGCAGGATGGCAGGATGGCCTGACACCTCCCAGTGTAGATTATTTTATCAACTCCATTGCCAAACAACTCACATGCCCGTTTGAAAGCCCTGTGCACTGCTTATGACAAGCAGTAGAAAAGCAAGTCTGAGCATGGGCTCCAGGAATCCCTCACCTCATTCCCTCTTGGAGGATACAGCCATTTAAAAAATATTTTGACATTATGTCCTTATGCTTTTGGCTAAAGTTAGTCTCTGTGGGCTTCTGTGTTAGGCATTAACCATCTCTGGCTGTTATGCCAAGCTGCAAAAGGAGGATGTCTCTGGAGAACCATCTGAGTCCTCCTCCAGGGCAGTTCTTCTCTGCCAGCAAACCTTGTGAGAACCTGGGGTGTCTTCACCTTGTGGATGCATGCTGGGGAGAGAAGGGATAAGCATAGGAATTAATGATATCAGAGATTTGGACTGACATCAGAGACATGGACTGACATCAGAGACATGGAGCCAACATTAGCTCATGGGCCAAATAAGCTCTGTTATGAGTGAAGACTATGGATTTGTAAGTCTGAATTCAGAAGAGCTCTTTACACATGGGGCTTTGCAAAAGGAATCACAATACCCAGCACTAGCTGCTGAGCTGCTCATGGCTAGGTCCCTCCGTAACTCACATGCTTTGTGTTCAGACACTCTGAACTGTCTGCTCCCATATGGCTCCATCACCTTTGGACAAAAACCCTGCTGCTGAGAGTAGTATGTCGACTACTAAATGGTATTATAATTACTGCTGATTTCTGCACAAAGTCAGGTCAGCTTAAGTGTAAACGTAGTAAGAATGTCAGAAGATGTCAGGACTGTTCCTAGCTCTGACAATCACTCACTGCTTGCCTTCAGGTTAAGCACTTGATAACTCCATGCTGTAGCTTCCTCAGCAGTAAAATGCAGATATGCTAATGCCATTACAAATTTTGGAAAAACAGGTATTACTGCTATGCAATGATACTCAAGTCATCAGGCTTGCCCTCTAAACAAAACTTAAACCAAGGAAAAGAATTTGATCAAATCAGACTTACAGTCAAAATGGCAAACATGATGGGATTTACCACTATTGACTTTAGCAGGCTTGGCTGTAGGCAGCCTTTGCAAATATCAGTGAGCTGTATGAAGTGCATGTAGGTGGAGCTGGCTGGGAGTTTTCTGTTAGAATGGTTTCATAGCAGTGAATTTCAAAGAAATGTGTATTTTCTGCTGGATTGTACCTTTAATTTTTGTTTTCTTAATCACAGAAAGGAAGAAAAAAAGTCACTTTCACATACTCTGTGAAAGTGTGCTCCCTCCAGCCACCAGATCCTGGAGCCACATTTCTCAGGCTTCTAGGTGCTCTAGCTCCAGAACACTTGTTGGCCACTGCTGTGAAACCATGAAAATCCAAATCTCAGATCCAAATTCTGATGCACTGGATCCTTGTGCAGGCGTTTTTCTGGCTCAGGGGCTGCTGTAACTTTTAGCAGCACTCAGAGTAATGACAGCATTCACTGGGGAACAGAATGTAATTTAGGCAGACAAAATGTCCTTTTTTTGAGGATAGTTATTTAAATTTCTTCGGTTTCAGTCTATCAGGATTTCTCTGAGAGTCATTAGACTGGTTTGGGTAGCATGGTGGCCCCAGGGGTTCCAACATAAGTCTATAACTCTCTTTTTCTGCAGAAAGATGCTAGAATTCCTAACAGCAGAAGCTGCTCTCATTCCTCTGCTGGTTACAAAATGCAGTTTCTGTGAACATTTTCAGTGTTTAGCCTCCTGAGCATACCAGCACAGCTTATGCAAAA